AGCTTCAATTTAAGCTGATCTCCAAAGGTGGCATTTAGCCACAATTGCAGCAGCCAAAATGGCCCAGCAAGTAGATAGATGGCAGTTGGTGCAAGGGAGGTCATATGGTCGACTCCCACACTGAGCGATTTATAAAGCGACCCTAGGATGAGTTTGCTAAAGCATATGTTTCGATCCATGTGGAGGTGATGCACCAACGCAATAAAACGTCTGGCCACCTTTAGAGACCTGTTACAGAAAATATATTTAGAGAGCCACAAGGCCAAAAAGGAGATGTGCTCTTCATCTGACACAATGTCGACATACTTAGCATGGAAACACTCCATGTACTTGGTAAAACCAACAATGTCCTTATCAAAAGGAATGATATCTTCATCGGCTGTAGTAGGGATGCAATTTTCACCTGTAGGACGAAGACCAGTGATAGCCTCAACATCGAACATCGTAGGGGTTAATATACTAGTTGCAAAATGGGAGGTGTTTGTGGAACTCTCCCAGAAGTAGAGAGAAGAAATCATCATACAGTTGCAATAACTAGGGTCAACCCTAGAAAGTTGAATCAGGTCAAAGATGCCTTGTGACTTCCAAACATCACCTTTAACCTTCTCCACCTTATTCAACCATGTAAAATAGTCCATGTTGACAGCAGGAGCAGAGCGAAAAACTTTTGAGGTCCTGTAGATATGGGAGAAATCTAAAAGACACTTTCGGGCGATAAGGGGCCTTATGCTTCTATGAATAGGGAAGAATTTTTGCGGATTTTTTGGTGCCCTAATCTCATCAGGGGTGGGTCCCATGAGAGCGTATGCAGTATTGTTCCAGACAAATGGAAGCAACAGATTAGAATGAAAAGTAGCAATGTTGCGTGCTGGGTTTGGTTCCAGCACAAAGGTCTGTCCATCAATAGTGAGGAACTTAGGCATAGTGGAAACTATCTCAATCGTGTGAGGAGTGTTAATGTGTTCAACAATTTGGCTCGGAGACGCCATGGAAGGTGATTGGAAGTTTTGAGTAAAAATGAAGGTGATTTTTGTTTGCTGAGTTTGGAAGCTAAGAGTTTAAGGATGCAAAGAGAGCGTAAAAATAAAATGAAGTATTAAAAAGGGTATTTATACCGCCAAAGAGCCGAAACGTTTGGGAAGAAAGTGGGAGAAAATTGTGGCCACACGACTGGCACGTGTCAAATAGATGGCGGCTAAGGTGAGAAAGTTGGTAAGTTGGAGGCCACAATTGTCCTAGGAAGTTAAAGCTAGAAAGTATGGGAGTGGCTGTGTGATTGTTGATGTAACATTTGTAGAATAAAATCATGATTATAGTGACATCACTTTGCACTAAGAGGAAAGGATTAAAATGTCTGTTTCTGCCCCTGAAATTGAAAAGGACATTTTGGGGGACAATTTGTTGGTTGGGATTTTCATAAAGAGAGAAATCCAAACCAAAAGTCAAAAAGGCTCTTTTGAGAGTATTAAAGAGCATTAAATTATGAGAATACTACATAAGCATGTCGACCATGACTGATTTTACAAGCAGACGACCAAGGTTTCATAAGCGTAGTCGACCAAAGAAAAGTTTATGGTAAATGGATTCGGCCCAGGGAGGTGAGAAGCCCAAAAGAGTTAAAAGGCCCATAGGCGCCTAAAACTGTAAAGGAGAAATGTTATGGAGGGAGAACGTAGGTTCGACCACAATGAAGAACGTGGGTTCATAAAGAGAAGTTATAATAAAGAATGTGAGTTCGTGAGGGGAAGTTACGAAGCACACGTGGCATGCAAGGAAACAAAGTCCATTAGAAAGTAGTTATTTCTGTGTATTATAAATAAAGCACTTAGTGCACTCTTGTAAAAGGTCAAACTTTTCACATTCATGCACGCTAGTCACTCAGAGTAACCAAGCGAACGAGTGAAATAAGTCAGGAAAAGGAAATGTATATTTGAACCGGCCTATTTTAAAACTTTCTTTAATGTTATGTCATTATCTTTTACAACTTAAAGCGCTATTCGTTTCCTTTACGCTGTCTTTTTTTCCTTATCTTTTGCAATTTAAATACCTTTGGCTCCAAGTCGAACGCACCCTTTTTGAAAACACTTTGACTACGCACGCGAAATGAAGCACGACTCCAAGATTCCCTGGTCGATCTCGCACGTAAACTTGTTTTCAAGATACCAACGTTATTTACCAAATCCACGGATAAACACTTTCATATCAAACTTCTTAAGAAGCTTTAAGCAGTATTTCGTCTGACTTATGAAAGTGCCTTCTTAGGCTTGCTTGATTTTCAATCCCAAAAAATATATTAGCTCTCCAATAAGTGACATCTCAAATTCATTGTGCTACACTTGCAAACAACTTAACAAATATAATTGTTAGTAGAACCATAAATAATATCATCGATAAATATTTGAAATAGAATAATATGCTTTGCTTATGAAAAATATTTAATGCACAAATCTTTAATACATCGTGAATTTAGTGAAAACCATTTTAATGCAACTAAATCATTATTTTGATGCAAATGAAAAAGACTTTAACACATATGAAAAATAATTTTGATGCATGAATGATTATGATGAAAACAAGAAAATTAAAAGCAAATAGGATAAATAAGGAACAATTACACGAAGAAGAAGAAGAATGAAACGATTATACCAATTACAATGATCTAGGACAAAACTTTATGCACGAGTGAAGTTAGCAAACAAAAATACTAATACATAAAAAATAAAATACGGTCAAAAATATGATTGGATACGTCTTCCTTCACTTGTCTTGAGAATCCATTATGATTTCTAGACACTCCTGCACAAAACATCAATAGATAGAATTAGGTACCCAATTTTAGTTGGGCCCTTTAGGGTTAGTTGAGGCACACTTAGAAACCCATACCATTTTACCATTTGAAAATTGGAAGTTCCTAATGTGTCATTGAGGCCTAATGTATCCATTATCACCACAATAATGAAAAATTGCTTTAGATGAAATGTCTCTTCTATTTCTCCTAGTAACGAGAGTTTTTTTTACGAAAATTGTCCCTCTATCATTTAATGAATTAGAACAAGAACGAGAACAAGATAATGAAGTAGCATGAGTTAATTTTCCTTTGAGATTTTCAATTTCAAGTTTTAAAATTGGACATTATACTTTTTCCACCTTTTCAACTAAAGTATCAAAAACATTATAGCACTCATTAACTAAATACGTATGTGTTTCTTCAAGATAATATAAGACACAATAAAGATTATTTACCTCATGTTCAAGTGTCATGATAATTTCTTTTTGGAGAGAAATCTTCTTAAAAGCATTTATAAAGTCAACATACATGTCATTAAAAGCTTGCGAGAATTCGCTATAAGAATATTCATTATCAAAATTAGAATTGTAAACCTTTGACATTTCACCTTATGTGCCATCAAACATAGGTTGACACACTCATCATCTGAACTTTCTGAACTTGAGCAAGAATATGAGGAGGAGTTCTCACCCTCTTCTTCCCACGTGATATATGTAACACCCTAAAAACTCCACACTTATTATTATAAAATAAAACATGTAGAAAACACATATTCACACTAAGGATGTTTCTCGACATCAGACACATCTGTTCTGCGACACTTAAAATTTAATATAAAACATTCAACACATGTCATCACATGTTCACCTTCACTTAGGGTATCGTTGCAGCAAAAATTAAAAAGATAAACATACTTTGCAAACATACTTTGCAAACGTATAAGTCTCATGAATCTAATCCAAATTGAGTTTGTCTTCACATAAAAGTTTTAGTATTGAACACACAACTTTCAAAGGCGCCTCAAGTAAAATTATCAAACATGAGAAAACTTCTTCGAAACATCGACAAGATTATACCCTTTTATATTTGATACTTTTGACTTTTTAGCACTAAAAACAGATGATCTTTTACAAATATTTCAAATATTCATGTATAGCAATATCGTATCTCATAAAACAATGAACATAATTTTTAAGAAAATTAGTTGTCATCTAAAAGAAGTAGTGATAAAATTTATTGTCCGTTTGTCTTATATTTTTGATGTAAATAATATTATCTTCTATTTTAAAGAAAAGTTTTAAAAATAAAAGAATAAATAAAATGTTACTCCCTCCGTCTTATAAAAAGTTTCATATTTGAATAATATATGATTCTTAAGAAAACGATTGGATGTATTGATTTTAATAAAAAATTAATATCATTTACTAGATTATTCCTATTAGTTACAGTTAATAAATAAAGGTATAATAGTGAAAAAATAATAATATTGATACATTAAAATTATAAATAAATATTTATTTTAAAACAGAAAAAAAAAATACAAATAAGACACTTGATACTGGAATGTGTTTGGTTGGTGTTTGATGTCCATCTCATAAATGTGAATCTGATTTTGTATTTGATTGGTGTTCGAGTCCAAATTCTAATCCATACTAGGTTCAAAACGGTGACATGCCTTTCAACTTTGGGAACTTAAAAAGTAAAACAGTAATATATATTTAAAAGTGAAAACTATTATAATTGACACAATTCTAATCTAACTTAAAATATTTAATAAACATAAATAGGATATGTCTAAGTAATTTAGTAAAACAAATAGAAAAAAATGAGAAGATAAGAGTTTAAAAAAACACGTGTTAAGAACAAAGATTTACTACTAAAAAGGTTTGAAGAAAAATGATCAATGACATGAGCTAAAAAAAAAGTAATAATAAAATGAATGGAAGATTATTTAAAAAAGGATATGGAGGAACAAAAAAAAGGTATATGTATTTAAAAGTGAAGAATATAAAAATAGAATAAAATATCCCTGTGAGCGAGAGGACACAAGACAATGGTTAAAAATGGCGACATAATCCAAGAGTTTGAATGAAAAATGAAATTGTGGTAACTATTTAAGGCGTGTAAACAAGTAAAGATGTTGTCATTTTTTGACACTCCCCGCTACAACATAAGCATCCTTGAATTGTCATTCTCAAACACAAGAACAATAATGGGTGTGTTTGAAGAAACCATTCAATATCCTATTGCTCGTAGAGATGACTCCGTTGTTGACAACTATCACGGCGTTAACATTCCCGACCCTTACCGATGGCTGGAGAATCCTGATGCAGAACAAGTCAAAGAGTTTGTACAAAAACAGGTTGGTTTAACGGACTCAGTGTTGAAGACAATCGATGTTAGAGCTAAACTTGGTGATACGATAAAAAAGGTCTATGATCATCCCCGTTATAGCGCTCCTTTTAAAAGAGCTCATAAATACTTTTACTTCCATAATACCGGTCTTCAATCTCACTGCGTCCTTTATGTTCAGGTTACCTTTCATTTTCACATTTTCTATATTTGCAAATAACTCATGTACATGGATATTTTTATGAATTCATGTATATTAATTTCAGGATAGTTTGGAGGGTGAAGCAGAGGTTTTGCTTGATCCCAATGTTCTTAGTGAAGATGGCACCGTTTCCATTAATAGCTTCTCTGTTAGCAAAGATGCTAAGTTTTTGGCTTATGGACTCAGTTCTAGTGGTAGTGATTGGGCCACTATAAAGGTCATGCGTGTTCATGACAAAGTTGTTCAACCAGATACTTTGTCCTGGGTGAGTAGTAATAATAATATCTCATACTGTTTTAATAATCATTATTCATTGTGTTTCAATTTCATTCAGGTCAAGTTTTCTTCTACTAGTTGGACACATGATAACAAAGGTTTCTTTTACAGCCGCTTTCCGCCTCCAACTATTAAGTATGTCATTTCTGTTTTTGTAATTCATATTAACAGTTAGTGAATCATAGTGCTTCTCATCATGTTTTGATTTACTGTTTTACTAAATTACAATGTAGGGATGGAGAAGTAGTACATGCTGGGACTCAGACTGATACTAATCTTTATCATGAGCTATGTTATCATTTTCTCGGTACTCATCAATCACAAGATATCCTATGCTGGAGAGATCCTCACAACCCTAGATATATGTTTGATGGAACTGTCACTGATGACGGAAAGGTACCATTATAATTTCATTTTCCTTGGATAGGTGCATTACTGTGACCAAGTATCTATATGACTTCAATTTTCCTAACAAACTACATGTTTTATTTGATTTTGTAGTATGTTATTCTGATCATTGGAGAGGGGTGTGATCCAGTCAATAAAATATATTACTTCCACTTGTCCAAACTTCCTAATGGTTTGGAAGGTTTTCGAAATGAAAAATCCTTCCTCCCTTTTGTCAAGCTTGTTGATCAATTTGATGCAAGTTATGAAGCTGTTGCAAATGATGACACTGTTTTTACATTTTTAACGAATAAAGATGCTCCAAAATATAAACTAGTCCGGGTAGATTTGAAAGAACCAATTACTTGGATTGATGTTATCCCAGAATCTGAAACAGGTGTACTCAAGTCAGCATTTGCTGTAAATGGTAACCAACTGATAGTGAGCTACTTGAGAGATGTGAAATATGTTCTGCAAGTAAGAGACTTAGAAACAGGTTCCCTGCAGCATCAAATACCAATTGACATAGGCACAGTTAGTGAGATTTCTGCACGGCGTCAAGATAATGTGGTTTTCATTGGCTTTTCAAGCTTTTTGACTCCTGGTATCATATATCAGTGCAACCTGGGGGGAACACAGATTCCTGATATAAAGATATTTCGTGAGATTGAGGTCCCTGGGTTTGATCGCTCAGAATTTCAGGTCAATCAGGTAAAAATTGAAACTCACTCATGCTCAAAATTTGCATTATAAATTAGGCCCTTTAAGATACTATTACTCTTGTACGAGTATGGTCATTGCTGTCTCTTGAAATTTGTTTGTTTAATATATGCTCCATTTGCTTGTGTTTGATTATTTGATACGAAATAATACATTTCAGGTTTTTGTGCCTAGTAAAGATGGAACGAAGGTGCCGATGTTCATTGTTGTGAGAAAGAATATAACTTTGAATGGTTCACACCCTTGTTTGTTATACGGATATGGCGGTTTTAACATCAGTCTTACACCATATTTCAATGTGAGTCGTATTGTCATTGCAAGACATTTAGGTTCTGTTTTCTGCTTAGCAAATATTCGCGGTGGTGGAGAATACGGAGAAGAGTGGCATAAAGCAGGAGCCCTTTCAAAAAAGCAAACATGCTTTGACGACTTCATTTCTGCAGCTGAATACCTTGTATCTGCCGGTTATACCCAACCCAAAAAGTTATGCATTGAAGGTGGAAGCAATGGTGGACTTGTTGTTGGTGCTTGTATTAATCAGGTCTGATTCAATCTGTATTCAATTGGTCTTTGTTTTAACGATCTCATACTTTATATTGTGCCTCCTGCATAGAGCTTGCTGTATTCACAATTTCTCCCCATTTTGAACAGAGACCTGATCTTTTTGGTTGTGCATTGGCTCATGTCGGTGTTATGGACATGTTACGGTTCCACAAATTCACTATAGGTTTGTTCTCATCTGTTCTTTGTAATGTGTACTATCATAGTAATGTTGTATATTGTTTCGGTGTTTTGATATTTCAGGTCATGCTTGGACCACAGAATTTGGCTGTTCTGACAAGGAGGAAGAATTTCATTGGATAATCAAGTGAGTTTGGTTAAACCTGTCATTAAATGTAAATGAAATGTTGTTAATAAGTGATAATTCTATGTTGTTTTAGGTACTCGCCATTGCATAATGTCTGGAGACCATGGGAACAAGATCCAAATAAGTCAATTCAGTATCCATCAACAATGCTATTGACAGCTGATCATGACGATCGTGTTGTGCCATTGCATTCATTGAAGCTATTGGCGGTTAGTCTGTGTTCTGTAATTCATGAATATATTTTGCAAGCTGCACAACTTTAAGTTTGTGTTGGAAATATTTATCAGACCTTGCAGCATGTCCTTGTGACTAGCCTGGATAAAAGTCCTCAGACGAATCCTATAATTGCTCGAATTGAATGCAATGCTGGACATGGAGCTGGGCGTCCCACACAGAAAATTGTAATAAACTTGTTTTCTTTTTAGAGCTTCTATTTGGTATTGTTGTATGATAAGTTGTTGACTGCAGATTGATGAAGCAGCTGATCGGTATGGTTTTATGGCAAAGATGTTAGAGGCTCATTGGATTGAGTAGAAAGGAACGGCATTAGGCGATTTGTTGAATACTAAACCAGCCATGGCAATTATTTTAAGTCCGGGAAGGGGGTGACTTGTTATTTTAAGTCGTTTTTTCTTTTATCGGGAAGGGGGTGGCTTGTTATTTTAAGTCGTTTTTTCTTTTATCGGGAAGGGGGTGGCTTGTTATTTTAAGTCGTTTTTTCTTTTATTGGGATGGAGGTCTTAGTAGAAAAAGTTATTGCATTACATAGGATGTTACAATATTAATTCTACACGTCCCCTCCCCCTTGTATATTAATGGAATGGAACAAGCTTCCTCATCAAATATTCAAGAATTGACCACCCTCTAAGTAAACAAATTATCATCTTTTTCTTAGACAACGACGTTTTTGTTGATTACAAACAAATTTTAAAGGAAAACCTATATGTAGCCTCATTCGATTCAGTATATGTAGCAATCACAACCATATAAATTTAAGTCGAACAAAATTGTAAATATAGTTAGAAATTCACTTAAATGTTCCAATTTATCTTTTACGGACATGACCCTATATTGAGAAGGGTTGTAGTTAGAATAAATTTTTTTTTTCAATGTAATATTAATTTATTTGTACTAATTTTATTTCTAGTTATTATTGTCCGCACAATTTTACCCCTATTATAAGGTAACTTTGATCAAATTAACTTAATTTTTTAATTAAAATTTAATAGTATATAAATTTTTATTTAAAAGATATAATAAAATAAAAAATTACAAAATTTAATTGTATTTGAAAATTAAACGACAATTAACTTATGAATATAAATAAAAAATAAATAAATCTAAATGTGAATTTTTTTAGCAATAACTAAGTATCGAAAAAAATACACAAATAACCATGTTTCAGAGAAAATTACGCAAATAACTGTATTTCAGAAAACTCTACAACGGAGGAGTCAAGTGAGATGGCACATGCAGTCACCTTTTTGCCCTAGGCGCTATCTCACTTGGCGCATGCACTTTGTTTTAGCCAAGTGAGATGGCGCATGTACTATAAAAAGAAGAGGAAACGTCATCTCACTTGGTTACTACGTGCAATTGTGTTTTCTATAAATAAATCACTCATTTCTCCATCATTCTTCATACTTTCTCGCATTGTCTCTTATTTTTCTCTGTTATTTGCGTCATAACATCTCCCATGATTTTTACCAGAGATGGATACGTTATTTTCTCGGCCACCAAATCTCCGATGAAAATGAAATTTTGGCACATTCAATCCATGGAGCGTCTGAAGAGAGAGAGTTGATGTGATGGCTAGAGGGAGACATCGAGGTTGGAAAACAAATTAGAAGGATCCAGAGGCGAAGAACAACCACCTCACTTGCAACTGAAAGACCTAATTTCTGGTTAGAGGAAGTCAGAACAGACGGAGACGTAATGGTGATGATGCATGGTTCAATGGGGACCTTGGCCCAGCACTGGCAGTTCCCGTTATTGGGCCTCTGCGTGGCCTAATAGTGGGGACTTTGGCCCAGCACTGGGGGCTATAAATACCCTCTCTCATGAGAGGGTCAGGTATTCATTCATTCACACCTAAACTCATACTTACTTGCTCACTCCGCTTCTCATTTTACCATCGGAGTGTCTTGCAGGTACCCCTCCCCCCATCTCATTCAAGCTCTGCCCGAAGTCAGCTGTGACGGTCCAACTCTGATCGGATTAGATCAATATTTATTATATTTTATTGTGAAATCAATATGAAATTAAATATTTATTTTACAAGAAGTTAACTATTCCCTTTCAAGATAGTTATTTTTATTTAATAATTTATTTTATATGAGCATAGTGTAAATTAATTTCACTTTTATATGCGCATAGTATTTTTTGATATAAATAAATTAACTCATATTATTAATCAAAGGAAATTCAATACACAAAGGAATAAAATTAATAGAACTACATTGAAATCAATAATTGATTGTCTTTGCTAACGAATGGATAACCATATTCGCTCTGCGATTAATGAATTTAACCTCAAAGTTCGGAAAAGAAAACATCAAATTCTTAACGGACCTAACAATAAGACTAAACTCTGAGATACCAATCTGCTTAGAGTGATGGCATGAACCACCACTTGAGAATCACTTTCGAAAATAACATTGCCCACATTCATACTGATAGCACTTTGCATAGCTTCTTTCAAAGCCATAACTTTTGTTTCTATAATGGACATAGTTCTGAAATCCCCAAGCCACACATGCAGTAAGAAATCTATCCATATTATTACGTATACACCAACCCATGTTAGTCGCTCAGAACTGATTATTGAAGCATGCGTCAACTAATCACTTTACCCATATCGCACCTAGCGGGTTCCACATTTGTGGTTCTAGGTAACCACATCCCTTACATTCTCATTAGTTGAAAACCAATCCTACCAATTGAAATAAGCTTGCAACCTATGGTTAGTATTATCCTCATAGTTATTATTTCAAACAACATTATTACAGTTTCTTTCAAAGCACATCAATCATTACAATAAATCTACTAACATTCCGCATATCCTCTCTACTACATATGTCAAGAATAAGGGATTTAACATCGTCAATGAAATTAAAACGAGGTCAATTATAGAAGACAAACTTGCTTCCTGCTAACTTTGACTCGTAGAACTACACCCAAAGAAAGTATACCAATTACTCTCATCCTTTACCTCACATGTTGGACATATCAAGGGGCACGAGACATGATATTGATGAAGTCTAGTGCGCACCAGAAGACAGCCCTTACAAATTATTCAAAGTAAGTGTTTGGTTCTGAGTGGGTGGGGGTTATAATGTTCCACAAACTATCCCAATTACCATCTACCTTACTATGCAAATGATTTGTCAGAAAATTCCTCCACAATTTATAACCCATTCAGACACTATAATCTTCATTTTTCTCTTCTTTCCAAACTATATCAGCTTGGTTTTTCTCTTCTTCCCAAACCATGTCAGTTTGGTTTGGGAGATTGCATTTGATTGCCCTGAAAGTACAACTAGACAAAATTCCTCCACAATTTATAACCCATTCAGACACTATAATCTTCATTTTTCTCTTCTTTCCAAACTATATCAGCTTGGTTTTTCTCTTCTTCCCAAACCATGTCAGTTTGGTTTGGGAGATTGCATTTGATTGCCCTGAAAGTACAACTACACAGGTGATTGACGACATGTAGGGTTGTTCGTGGTATAGTTGTTAGAAAACTGAACCGAATCGAACTGAACCATTATAAAATATTACCCGAATCAAACCGAGCTGTTTTAATTTTTACTGAACCAAATTGAACCAAATTTTCTATAAACAAATCTATCTAAAAATAAATCAAACACAAAAAACCATTAAGTTATATCCAACGGTATAATTTCAAATGGTTCCACATACTCAATAACAACACCAATAATTATCTACAACAGTAATAAGTCAAACATAAAAAACCATTTTACTTTACTTGTTGTTGTTGACCCAAAAAGGTAATTATCTACGACAGTATCTCAAATAAGTTAAAGTAATCACATATAAACAATTTTTTTAAAGATTAAACAAGCATCAAATATTTTCACATGATACATTAACAACATTAATGTTCAAACAAACATAACGATTTGGAGCTTCAGTGATTTGGTTTTCACTTTTCACGTTAGAAATTCAGTGTTGTGCTATAAGATTAATACACTTCAATTTTCATATTTAAAAAATAATGGTTCAGTTTTAATTTATGTTTGATTAATTTCAATTTGATTCGATTATAAAATGCTGGTACAATTCACTAATCAAACATAACGGTTCAGTTATTTTAATTTCAGTTCAATTTAGTTCTTTTTGAACAGCTCTATCAACACGACAAAACATAGAGCTAGTTTGATTTTGGAAAATTAAAGCACAATTCATCGCACACTGCACAAACTCAACAACTTCCAGGTCTTGTAAATTCACATCAAATATAAATGGATCAAATATACTACTAATTATATGTGATTCAACTTGTAAAGAAACCAAAACGTTGCCTCCAGAATCGGTCTTAATTATCTTACGACTTGAAAATTTTACCTCCAAACTTAATTTTCATTCAAATTTATTACTAACCTCACTTTTACGAAAATGCATTCAAATATAAACCACTTCCCCTTCAATTAACATTTAGCTAAAATTAATTAATTCAAAACCAATTATTTCAACCTATAACCATAACAAACTTAAGATACTTGGATTCACATTTATGAACAAAAGTTTCTCAACGTGTCTGTCATTCAAAGACGTAGCTGTAGCTATAAATCACCGTAATTTTGGCATAAGAGCTAGTGTGATTCCAAACACAGCAGTCCATTCCTGTTGACCATGTCATAGTTCCTATTTAATTGAGTTAATTGATTTTAAGCGAGCTACTTGTAAAGTGCATATCTATTTTTTATACAACAAAAACAATTTTAACTTCAATTTCGTCAACTTAGTTTTAGAATATCATTTCAAATATAAGGTCATGTTAAACATTAACTCTGCCTGCCTCAACAAAAAATGAACTGTCAAAATCGGTCTGCCTAAATCTAAATAGATCAGTAAGAACTAGGAAGATTTAAAACGGGGCGCGTGATACCCTTAAGTCAGGAAACACTCCATTTTGATGTCTGTCACATCAAGTTGCAAAATTTCAGCTCTACATCCGAACATAGATCCAATGCTGCAAAAACAAATGTAACAATTAACAAATAATGCATTTGCCAATAAGGTATGGTAATATATAGCTGAGGCAATAGCACTCTATGTATGTAAAACATAGAAACGGATGAAGGGAATAATAATTTTTTATTAATTCTCAGAAGCCATGGGTGGTATTTGATGATATACCTAGGATGTGTGCGCCCAAGATCCCCATGAACGAATTCCTTGATGTAGGTCCCAGCCTGCACAATTGTATTTGAGTTTTAACAAAATTAGGGGGAACAGATTTAGCTGTCCATAACAACCAATAATTATTGTTGAGTTGGAACGTGGGG